AGATCTCTATACAAACAAAAGAAAGAGAGTAGATAAGGATGGTAGATGCTTGATAGGAAGGACGGAACAAACCCCATCAAAGCACCCACCAACCACCCGTACCTAACCTACATCTGAAAGTCCATTTTGCCTCAGTTTCTTTTTCTCACCCAGTCTATCATTAGCTCCTCCCCACACATATGAGTGCACATACACCAGTATATCCACGTGCACATACACAAGTTTACAAACACAACCACACAAGTGAGTGAGAACAGATATATATATATATATATATATATATATACACAGGCACCAACTCACGCAGTCCTAAAAAAACCAAAATGGACAAAACCAAAACCATGGACACACCATGAGTGGAGAGCACCTTGCCACAATGATGGCTACATTGCAATAGACAGACTCATCAACAATACTAGACAGTATGATTGTTGTCTCACAACCAGATTCAAATACCGTTGTTTTATTTAGAGTTTTACAGTACTTGCAACATAATTAGGTCATTTAAATGCCAAAGATAAAAGGTGCTGCAAGAGCTGTTCATCTCTAGATGGAATCTAAGCATCATTATAACGCACGGCTAAACAGCAACAACAAAAGAGCTAACAGAAAGAACGTTCCACACAAACTGCAAGGTCTGAGAACAGCATCCACTTTGGAGGTTGGTACAAATGAAAAAGAAAACCATAATAGACCATTGACTCCATGAACAACTTTTTCCTTTTTGGAGCAGGTGTTTTTACACCCCCACCAACACAATTTAGATCTTTGTGGAGGCAGACATCAACCCTCCCTGTTTTTTACTTTTAGTAGAGGCTTTACGGCCCTCACAACTGCATACGGTCATAAGAGCGCCAGGCGGATTAGAGGTGCTACAAGAGAGTAACAAACATAAAAAAGAAGAAGAGGAGATAAGGACGATATATGTTTGATAGGAAGGAAGAAGCAAATCACACCAGACAGAGCACCCGCCAACCATCCACAATTTTTTGCTTTTTGGAGCAGGTGTTTTTATGCCCCCATCAACACAATATAGATCTTTCTGAAGGCAGACATCAACCCTCCCTGGCTGTCAGGGCCTACCCACACGTAGACAGATACAGACACAACAGCCCAGCAGAAAGGCGGAGACACTCAATAAAAATTTAGCGGGTCTCCTGTGTGCCACGGTGAAGCTCTTAACCACAACACCACAGACGCCCGTGTCAACTCCACAGCTCACAAAAAGAAAAGACAGATGAAGAAAGCATCACATTGTCTTCATTAAACAACACACTACAGCTTTCTACATGATTCAGCCAAATGTACAACGAAATTGTAACAAAAAAGGAGGGGTGGACCTTCAATAGGCACTAAACTTGTCTCGCATAAAACCAAAGAAGAAACATATACATATAAAAAACTGACTTGCAAATCGAAATCCGTTATAAGACAGCGTACAAAAAGATGAGAATAGGAATAAAAGCACTTTTACAGCCATATTCACATATATCCGTATATATATATATATATAAACTGTTGCATGACATCCATTGAACAGATAAAAGAAAACATCCATACATCCAGACAGCGAGAAATCAAACGTTCATGTCATCAGCTGCCCTAGTTCATGCATCGCAAGAGTGTGGCCTGACAGTGAGAGTGCCTACCTCATGATTACATTAATGAACCTAAAAAAGCATATTTTCAAAACTCACAAAATATTGTTAGCTTTCTAGTTTAGTTCTTTAGTTTTTGCAAGAGTTTTACGGCAGTTGCACCATAATTTGATTAAATAAGCACCAAAGACTAGAAATGTTACTAGAGAATAATAAAGAAAAAAAAAAGGAGGAGAGATAATGGTGATAGACGTTTGATTGGAAAAAAATGAGCAAATCACACGAGAACCGCGCCAACCACCCACTTAATTTTCAGGCAGACAATCCCCACAAGCAGACTTTCCTTCTTAAAAAAAAAATTACACCCCCACAGTCACAGTTTGGATCACCTGAATCACAGGCCTTGACCTTAAAAAAAAATGAGACCCCCACTGTCACAGTTTGGATCACCTGATGGGCAGGCTTCGACCTTGTCTGTCAGGGCCAGCCTGTGCCAAGAGGGGCACAACACAACAACAGAAAGACACCGGACAACAATTCTACCCACTAGAGAATCAAACTCAGGTCTCCTGTGTGCCATGGCCAAGTGCCAAACCGCTACACCACAGACGCCCCACCAAACTTTCTGAAAAACTCCCAAATTTTAACAATTCCCACAAAAGGTACATCTCTCTATTTCTTTGGTGACTTTGAAAAGATGGATCATTAGTGTCACATGCAGCATCAGAGAATTTAAAGGAACAAAAAAAACCCCAATATGCAAATCATAAAATGGAATGCAAGAGATTTCTCTTTTGTACAAAACAAAGGTCGGTTGCCCTTTCACAAAGTTTTCCTCTGGAATTTGATTTGATCCATACAACAGACCATGTCGTTGTTAACGATCCAGATACAACAGATCATGTTGTTGTTAACGATCCAGATACAACAGACCAAGTTGTTGTTAACGATCCAGATACAACAGACCATCAAGGAGAGAAACGAGGCAAAGGAAAAACAAAGATTGAAAAAACCTCCCCAAAAACATGGAAAACCTCCGCTGGCACGTGGATGAAGCACACCAGAAGAAGCACAGCCTGACTCCACCAATCACAAACTTATCAGCTCCTCCCCGAACTCAAAGAACTGTTTCTATATACGGTACTTCAATTATCTCTCTCGCCGCACGGTTTATGAGTTCAGAAAAAGTTCACGCAGGGAGAAAACTGTACATAGAAACAAAAACAAAGTTTTTACAAGAATGTCAATAACGACCACAGACTGTGTCAACATATCGCAGCTCTAGAGCCACCACGTCACGTCTTCGGGGTAACATTGTGTTACGTCCATTTTCCCCCAGTTTTTAATATATGTGTCACGACGTGGTGGAAACAGGTGTTCGTCAATAATTGGGCGTATGAACTTTCTGTCTGTGAAAAAAATACCCATCGATCTTGAAGAGAAGTCGAGATATTTGCGATTGAAGGAGGTGGTGGTAGCAAGTTTTCTGAGGTAACATTTGCGAGTAAATGGCCGCCAAAGTTTGGTAACATTTATAGCTTACGAGTTGGAGAACTGAAAACTTACTTATTTTTATGCCATAAAGCAATGTCTTCAGTAAAATTCACCTGCCAACTGTCAGCACAGATTCCTTCATCACCAGAACTCCCTCCTAAGATGTTACAAATGAAATTAACTGTTCATTGTTTCAGGAAGCAACATCCCTGCATTCCAGACATGTCCGTTGATGCTCCGTTGCTCTCTCCAAAATGTCACAAATGTCATAGTAATAAATAAGCTAAAAATCACAGCAAAGGAAAATATTCTGTGGACACTAGGCACAACCTTGGAGAAAGAAAAAAATCAATACGAGTTCGGACATCCTTCTAAAAAGAAAATTTATATGAGGTCACATGTGGCGGAAGGGAATGTAAACAGACGCGATGGAAGCAAGTTTAAACATAATATTCTCAAAATACACGTACAAAACACAAGTAAGCGCCAACAATTTTGTTTCTTTAAAAAAATATTCACAGCCTCCCTTGCAACACAAAAATAAGTACTTTTTTCTTTCAAAGACAAAATAAAACAGACAAATAAATAAGACTTTTGCTTGAAAAGACAGTTCAGTCCAGTATTCTGATTCTCTCTGTATAGACTACTGAAAAGAAAGAAAAACCAACCCAAAACATATGATGAGATTGTGAGGTAAAGCAAATGTAAGCTAAGACTCAGGAAATATACAGATAGTTGGAAGAAAAGAAAAGCTCAGCCTTCCCCTGCTGTAATATGGGGTGCTCATTGCAGATGGGACCATGGCGGGTAGGGGGGGGATCGCCCCACTCTTCGCCTGAAACATGAAAACAAACACGTTTGCTTTTTGAAGTGATGAGTCCGGCGCGATTGGCTTCTGCCACGATAGCCACTTAGCGCCCTCAATCAGGCTAGCAAACCGCTCCGAC